TGTAGCCCTTAAGAAAAAGGCTAATATTGCACTCATATCTCAAATCGAACTAAAGAAGGTTGATGAAGCCTTAAAAGACTCCAGCTGGGCACAAGCCATGCAAGATGAACCTGATCAATTTGACAAAAATTAAGTATGAAAACTAGTGCCTAAGCCAACAAATGCTACAATTGTTGGAACCAAATGGGTATTCCGAAACAAGTTGAATGAGGATGGGAAGGTAGTTAGGAACAAAGCCAGATTAGTTGCTCAAGGCTACTCACATTAGGAAAGAGTTGACTATGATGAAATATTTGCTCTGGTAGCTCATTTTTCAATTCGTATATTACTTGCATATGCATCTTTTAAAGATTTTAAACTTTTTCAAATGGATGTTAAAAATGCTTTCTTAAATGGTTTTATTTATGAGGTGGTATATGCAAAATAATCTCCTTGATTTGAGAACTCACAATTTCCTTACCATATGTACAAGTTGACTAAAGCCCTTTATGGACTCAAGCAAACCCTCAAGCTTGGTATGAGAGGCTAAGTTCATTTCTAAATGATCATGGATTTACTAGAGTTAAAGTAGGTACTACATTATTTATCAAAAGATCCTCTGAAGGTAATCTCATTATTCAGATTTACATCGATGATATTATTTTTGGTAGTACTAACTCTCTTTTGTGCAAGAATTTCTCAAATTTCATGCAGAGTGAGTTCGAAATGAGTATGATGGGAGAACTTATATTCTTCCTTGGACTTCAAATTCAGCAATGAGAAAATGGCACATTTATTGTTCAGACCAAGTACATTAAGGGGTTGATTTAAAAGTTCGGCATGAGCAATGCTAAAATAATTGGAACGCCTATGAGTCCATCAACCACTCTTGATAAATATGAGAAAGGAAAATCAGTGGACGAGAATACGTATTGTGGATTGATTGGATCACTACTATACTTAATTTCTACTCGACCATATATCTTATTCAATATGTTTAAATATACCAAGTTTCAGTCAGCTCATAAGGAGTCACATTTAACCGCAGTGAAGCAAATAATTCATTATCTTAGCAGAACTACTTCTCATGGACTATGGTATCCATGTTCAAATAATTTTAAACTTGAAAGATTTTTAGATGTTGAACTTTCAGGTGACAAAGAAGACAGGAAACGCACTAGTGGGACGTGTGAATTGTTAGGGAAAATATTAATTTCCAAGAATAGCAAAAAATAAGGATCAGTGGCTTTGTCCACAACTGAGGCAGAATACATTGCTATTGGACAATGTTGTGCTCTACTACTTTGGATGTCCTATCAGTTAGGTGACTATGAATTATCTTTTAAGCCCATCTAAATATTCTATGACAATTCTTTTGTTATATGTCTCTCAAAGAATCATGTGCATCATTCTAGAGCTAAGCATATAGACATCAAACACCATTTTATTAGAGATCATGTTCTTAAAAAAGATATAGAATTAATGTTTGTGAGCACCAAGGATCAATTAGCGAACACTTTTACAGAACCCTCACTTAAGATAGATTTTGTGCTTTGTAGGGCTCTCTTGGCATTATTTCACATTATACCAAAATTAGGACTTATGTGACGTTATTTATTTTTACTGCCATACTTTTGACATATTTCCTTATGTGTGTAAGTACCACTAATGATATGCCTTCTATTTTTCCTTTTTCACAACTTTTTAGAAGAAAGTCAATCATCACGTCGTATGTCTAATGCCTTTTCCCTTTCTGCAGTCAACCATCTATCTCACATCTTTTTAGTCTCCTTTCACCATTCTATTTCTCTCACGTTGTTTTTATCACCAAATCCTTACCTTCATCTCAACAATGGCGAAAATTCTCAAAAATCCTTCTGCATCAACCTGAAAAAACACTCACTCCAGAATAAAGCCTTCGTCAAAACCTCCAGGACCAGTCGATTTAGGGTCAGATCACTCTGAAGAATTTGCCTCTTCACAATCAGAACTCTCCGATGATGCGCGTAGCCTTATTGAAAAAGCCCTAAGTAAGCGTCCGATGGAAGATAACTTTGAGTCGCTCACTCCCAAAATGTCCAAAACAGATCTCTCAAGCTATTTGGACTCTGACATCAACTTCTGGGACACCCTAAATAGATACGTCATCATCTTATTCAAAGACAAACCTGTTGCCTATGGCAGGATCATTGATTTGAACGACATGGAAGCTTCAATTGCAAGGTTAAGGAACTCTTCGACTTCTAAGCGTGGAAAAATTTTCTTTCTCTGCCTCCTCCAAAGTATATGAATCTCTTGTCAAAATATTTTATGCAAATCTCCATTCCCCAAAACCTAACAAATTAGAGTCTCTAGTTCTTGGTAAGCGCATTTTTCTGGACTATGCCATGTTTGATTCTATTTTTTAGTGTAAGTGCTCTGGATTTTCTATGTTGTTCAAAAATACATGGCCCGAAGACTTTGAAATTTCTTTTGATCAAGCGAAAAGATGCATAACTGAGTCACCCACTGATTCCCTACCTAGTCAATTAGGTCCTAGTAATGTTAGTTTTGAAACACGGGTTCTAGCACACATTGTGGCAACCACTCTACTTCCACGTATAGGATCCTTCTCAACTTTCTCCCAACGAGATGCTTTCTTTGTTTACTGTCTCCTAACAAAGCATAAAGTCAAATTGTCCTCCTGGGTCATCAATTTCATGATCGAGAGTGCCGATGATCCCACACGTTTTCCCTATGAAATGGTCATTACCCGCCTTCTCGAAGCCCACAACATCTCTCTTTCTAACTATCCCTATGTCACTATCACTAAGTCCTACAACTCCAGATCTTTTGCTAACATGGGATACGTTATTGTGAAAGGCACTTGGATAAAGAAGCAAGAAAGTGAAGCCAAGACTGCCCCAGTTGATTCGAAAGCCAAGGCTTATATTTCTCCCCTAGTGTATGTGAACTTGATCTTGTGGAAAAGCTAACTGCTATCAATGACAAGTTGGCCATCATCAAGGATTTACTGGTCTCCACTCAAACCACAATTGGAGATATTCATATTATCAAAGTAGATAGGCTATGATGTATCCAAGATAAGAGTTCAAATCCTCATGGCAGCAGAGAATGCAATAAAAGCTTTCAAGGAAGTCCTTGATAGAATCGATGGGATATCAGTCTAAGTAAATGCTAGCATTGATCGTCTCAGGAAACTATTTGCAACACTCTTACTTATTTTCTGCAATGTTGATGAATGGATGTTTAAGATAGTTTTGTTTGTTTGTTTTTGGACTGAGTATTCAATCATGGGGTTGTACAGATAAGACAATTACTTACTGTAGCATACCTAACTAGTTAGATATTACTTGCTTCGACATATTATTTGCCCATATTATGCCTTTTTATGGATGCCAAAGAGGGAGAAAGATTACAGGAAATTACAGGAACAAAAAACATTTTTAATTTTCTTGTTGCTGCCCAATTGAGGAGGAGTCGACTACAACAGACGAAGAGTCAACTAATATACAGGGAAGTAAACTAATTTTATTTCGTTATTTTATCATCATCAAAACGGGGGAGATTGTTAGATTCAAGTTTTAATGATAAAAATTAACATATCTTTACTTGCGGGAACACTCTAGGAGTAAAGGAAATGAAGGAACAAAGGAAAGGAAGATTATCAAATATCTGCGAAGGAAGACAAGAAAGGAAGGAGCAAAGAAAAAAAGAAGAAAAAGATCTTTTAAGATCTGACAGTCCGTACGAAGGAAGATAATAAAGGAAGGACCAAAAATCGGAGGAGATGGAGATTGCTTAGAATCCGCTCTATATATCTATCAACATACTAGAGATCCGCTTATTAAAGAAAAGTTGTTGACTCCCAATACCAAGGGGTCTATTTTAGGCTGTTCGAATGAAAGAAGGATTTGCTTATCAATGGAAAGTTCTATCAAGATCACCAGTCAAGATAAATCAAAGGAAGCTCCACACTTATTCTTGAAAAGAATCATTCTACGATTCATTCCAAAGATCAATTCCCTTGGGTCTGTAATCTCTCAAGATCTGCCACAATCACGAATCAAAGCACAACCCTCGAAGTTTATATATATAGTGAAACGACAGAGAGAAGATGCATACTTTGATCGAACGAACTTCGTCCCCTTTGTTCTGCATTAAGCAAGCATTGTAATCTAAGTGTGATTTATTGTGTAGCTAATAGAAAGGAGAAAGAGAGAAAAATATTGGTGAGACATTGTATCAAATTACAACAAGTGTACTTAGAACCAAAACGGCAGTTGGTGTTCGTGATAACATCAACATACTTGTATGAAGTTTTTATGGAGCTTTGAAGAGAGAACCCTCTTGCAACCCAAAGGGTTTGGAGTAGGATTCACATTGAATCCAAACCAATATAAAAATACTTGATGTCATTTAAATTCTGCACTTTACATTCTTTTAGCTTTTACCTCACATCTACTTCTAGTTGGCTAATTGGTAAACTAGTCAATTACTTAGGTATAAAAAAGAAAAATCGATAATTCACCCCTCTCTTGTACTTTTACGGTCTTGTTGGGCCGAAGTGTTTGGGCCTTCGTTCATTGCGCCCGTGATTTATTACGTGATAAAGAATAGAAAATACGAAAGAATAGCAAATGCCACACAAAGTAAACTTACAATCATTAAACTGTAACACTAAAGGATTGTTTTTTTTTTTTTTTTTTTTTTTTTGGTGGGTTCCAGGGAGGTGGGGAAGAATGGGTTCAATTGGAAGAATTGAAAATTCTAGTAAGAAACCAACTTCATCAACCACCAACGTACTTCACTTATTCAATGAGCTTCTAAAATGCTGCAATAAATAGTTAACTACAATGATTGATATTAATTTGGGGCAGGGGACCAAGGTGGGGATCGAGAAGGATGGAGGGTGGGGCAGAGAAAAAAAGATAAGGCTAAAAATCTTTGCTGTCTTGAAATGGGCCATCATACCTAATCAACAAGCATACCTGCCTTCATAAATAGACATATACGTTGATACTAATGATACGGAAATCACCACATCACTGGCCATCTCCAGAATGTTAAACAAGCAACTATTTCCTTTCCTTTTCATTTGCATCGTGGCCACAGCCACCAACACAGCAGCAGCTACAGCTGCCGATGAAACGGTCACGTGCAACACAGTGTATGATAGCCTGGAACCATGTCTTGGCTACGTGTTAGGTGGCGCAAGTGTGCCGCCAGAATGCTGCAGTGGACTTAAATCTCTCCTCGGTGCTGCACGGACCCGCACAGACCGCCAGAGCGCTTGCCAATGCGTGAAGAGCGTGGCATCAAGCGCTACCGGAGATCAAATCAGCCGTGCTGCTAGTATCCCTGGAATATGTAAGGCCAAGCTTCCTTTCAAGATTAGTGCAAATGTTGATTGCTCAAAGATCAAGTAAGAGACTCTTTGTGAGTGGAATAATGTTGAATTCGATAGATCTAGCCGTTGTGTTTACCTGTTTTGTCAAGAGTTACTCAGTGGCAGTTGTACAATGAAATTATGTTTGCGTTAGTGAGAGTGGGATCGTTGATGTCCCCTTATTTCCGAGACGCTATTAATGTCCTATATTATTTTCTTATAGCTAGCACACTGTAATGTTGCTTCTTTCGATGATTTGTAGAATTAATTAAACTCGAGTAATCTCACATTTTGCAGAACTTTGATACTTCAGAAATTAGTCAAATTGACATTTGAGAAATGATTGTTTCTGTTTTAGACTGTATTCTCAACCAAAGCAGAATTCCTTCCAATAACAGGGCATTCCACAAATAAGTGGTCTCCGGATTCATAGTGAGTCTTGTAAAACACACGTAATTGAGCCTGTCAACAGTTAAAAGCCTATATTGAAGTTGTAGCCAGACATTAAATCTAGCTTAAGGTCTGGTTTCATTCCCAAACATCAAACATTCCATACAACTCGGCTATTATTGCCATTCAACTGCAGATACATCGGTCTAATTAAGCTCTGCCCTTCTCTAACTGTGACTTGCACTCGTAGTATGTTTTAGCAGAATGAGGTTTGAGTTGTTGCTAATCTTTGTTTTTAATAGTTTTATGTGTATATTGGGCTATCATCAGTTAGATTAATATGGAGTATACTAAATTAGCAAGCATATTATTCGAAAAAACATAGGGAAAATCCAAAAAAATTATATTCAACAAGTGATACAGATTCAAGGAGAGCGTTGCTCGAAATTTTAAGCAGATTTCCCTTCAAGGAGGGCATGATTAAGGGTTACAACTTTCAGATAAATTTGCTCTGACATGAGGCACATAACTCCAATTTCAACCTTCGAATACTTTTTATGTCTCATTACACTGCGTCATCATAGCAATCAATCAACTAAGTCCTTATTCTTAAGCTAGTTAGGGTAGGTTATATGAATATTTCTTTGTAGTTCATTATTCATTTCATTCAAGCTTATATTATGTCATTCCAATACTAAACAAGTTAAACTCTATATCGAATTAAGAGCTTTTAAACATCTCATACTCTCCCCGATATACAAGACTAACTAAACTATAAAGAACTCTTGCAAATACTAGATCTAATATAAGTTGTGTAACTGCAGTAACTAGGTCTTCGGTTCAACTAGTTGTATCTCCTACTCTGTTCATCAAAAGCTAAATTTCAATTTGTTTAGACAAATTTAAGTCTGAAATAAATTACTTCCATGTGATTTTAGTTGTAGCTTGTGTAATTTAGCATATTCACAGTGTTACACGTCGTACGGACATCTGCATGTGAAAGTCTATGCAGGAGAACAAAATTGTCTTAAAGCAACATTCTCCCAATTTATCTTATACATCTGCTGCCTACACCCTTTATTGGAAGGGCTGGCGATGCACGTCTTATAGTCAAATGTTATGACAGGGTTAAGGGTTTGCTTGGTAACACCAGCCTAGTTGGCTATCGCTCAACGAGTAAATGATCTCTTGTGGCCAGTCACAATTTGAATGGAAGAAAATGACTTATTCACATCTCTTGTGCTGTATGTAAAAATGAAGATTTCATGTATAAAAAAAACGTAAAACTAAAAATAAATTTGTAAAGGACTAAAAAACTAATTCCCCCCTCCAGTTTTGGAGCACAAAAACTTGATTGGGAAAAACTGAAACTCTACCAAAAATGAATTGCAAGACTTTTTGGAGAGAAGTTGTGACCACTTATGGACCATGTCTATCAGATGTAACAACTTTGAGTAGGTAAAAAAAATCAACACAAGCTCAAAGAAGATGGCAAGAGGTCAAGTTCCAGTGTTTGATCCTTGGGCTACTATTGGAGATATCTAGAAGTATTCTCTATTCTAGCCGCTCCATTAACTTAGCTGGCTCAAAAAGAGGTCAAATTCTAATAATGGTCCGATGCTTTGGAGAAGAGCTTTCAGTAGCTCAAGATCCATTTGGTCAGGGAATTGGTATTGACAATTTGTCCGCGAAATTTTACTGATGCTTCTCGTGTAGTGTACATAGGGGTGTATGCTGCTTTTACAGGATGGGAAGATATTCGTCAAGGTAATTAAAGAATTGTCTAAAGTAATTCTATGAGAAAGATTCTATGGTGACTTGATTTCTTTCTCTAAAGCTCACCACTTTACTTGCCTCCATAATTCTCTTATTCTCTTTTCTTATTTCTTACTGCATCACACACACAGAGCAGGTAGGGCCCTCAGCCATCATTTGTGTTCAAGCTTTAGTTTATTAATCTGTTACTTGTTGACCAAGGAAGACACGAAAGCTAAAGCAGGTCTTCTACTAAAGAGCATAAAAGCAAAGGAAGGAAGAGGAAAATTTGCAGAAGGGCTACTTTGTTGGCCTGCTGCTGCTTTATTAAAGGGAGAATGAAACGAAAAAGGAATTAAAGTGCACACAGAATGTTTATACTACCAATAATCATACTAGTACTGTAAGACAATTCTCTCTTTCGAGACTGTTAAGTTGCTTGGATGTTTCCTAAACGTTATCTTTATATTCATCCTTCACTATGAATTTTTCTATAGTTGAACATCTTTCTGTACGGAACTACTCAATTAGCTTGTGGAATTCATTTTGGCTGCCTTTTTTATTTAACTCCATCGGGATTTTCTCATCTTCTTTTGTTAGAAAGTATCTAAAGATATTTTCCCTCTCCTTTGTGCTTCTGTTCATCTTTTTGACCTGCCTACTACTTCTCAAAGCCATTACACACTTCAAATAGACATAGACCCAAAATCAATATGGAGCTAATTAGCTCAAATTATGCACAAATGCCCATTATAAAGTGAAAATTAATCCAAGTCGAAGAGAATAAGAGAAATGAAGGAAAAAGTCATTTAAGTGCATGACATTCATCTGTTATAGCTGAATCAAATTCTTCCTGAAAAATAGCATAAGTTTGTAACTATGCCATAACGATTATTGACATAGCAAATGATTGATCAAAGTATCTACTTATCATTATAAAGAATTATAAGATTAATTATTTTTTAGGGCCTAAAGCCTTGGCTTTAGATGGCTTGGGGTTGAGCCACCCATGCGTGGAACTTAGAAGTGCATAANCACAAAAAAAAAAAGGAAAAGGTCCAAGTAATTAAAATGGTGTCTCAAAATTTCTCACTTCGATATTTGAACCATTAAGTTATCGAAAGCAATTACATCATCTATCTTATCCACCTAATGTTTAATCAGAAAATAGGAATTTCGGTCAAAGCTTACTTTTAGAAGAACTCGGGTTACTGATAAGCAAATATAAAAGAAATTGACTTTAATGATAGCAGAATAAGTAAAAAAAAAAAAAGTCAATCAGTGTATTCCAATAATATTCTCCTCCTTTACAAATGTTATTTCTTTCCTTTTATAGCTATTTCTAAGTAGTACGTTTCTTTCCTCTCATAATTGAGCCATTATGAGCATTTAATGGCATTAATGTAACGTTATTACTGGTAATCGTAATTATTTCGTGAAGATTCTATAACGTTTTCCATCATTGATGCTCATTAATCACGGATAACACGTATCTGTACTTTTTGCTATCTAGGTTCATTCCTCTAATGTCTCTTCAAATTATCAAGAGGTCCGAATAACCGTTCCTTCTTGTTTTCTTGAATCTTTATCCGCACCTATTAAGGTTCGTGCCTATTCAACTATTCTTTGCCAGCTGCCTTTCTGTTATTGATCCATGTGTCTTGACGTGTCAGCACTTATTTAATTCCAAATGTTAACATAATTTTTCCCAATATAGATAGTCCCCCTACTTGCCATTTATTCATCAATTGAATATTTGGGAAGTGGATCTCATAAAAGCGGGAATTTTTGCTGCCATTCTTCGTATCATTATAACTTCTCCAAAACTGACGCTTCGCATGTCACTTCCATTTAATGCTCATGACACGTGGTAGCTTTTGATTGGTTCTACGACCCTTCAGTGCCTTTTGAGGCTTTTTTCGACTTGCATCAATCACGAAGTGACAGTTCTCATTATGACGTTCCCATCATTACCTTTTTTGTTTGATGGTTGCTTTTGGGTATAAATATAACCTTTGTCTTTTCTTTTTCACAAAAGTTTTCCATCTTTAAATATTTATTCTTGTCATCTTCCTCGTACAGCTATGTCTTCTTCGAATCCTAACCCCCGAAGAGTACCTATTGTTGATTAACTTCCCCTTGCTCCTTTTAGAAGCAAAAGAGGGGGAAGACTACGCAGTTTGGGATCTTCATCTATACGAGGTGCTCCTGTACCCCCACTGGGTTCTACCCCTCCTCTAGAACTAGGGGTTCTCTTCCACATAGATCTTCTTTTAGAAGTAGAGATTCTAATGAACCAGTTCGTGAACCTTTAGTAGACGAAATTGTCCCTTCTGAACTTTTTTTACACTGATAGAGAATCGATTAGGAATCAGGTTTCTTCTATGTCTTCTCTTGATCGTGCTGACGTTTACCCTTCTCTAATTACCGAAGGTTTAATCTCTGTTGTCCGTAGGGATTACCGTTGGAGATTTGATTTCCCCATCATAATTCCTAATGAAAATCAAAGAATCACATCCTACATGACTGGATTTTCTTTCGTGTATACATATTCCTTTACACTGAATTTTAAACCTCCCATTGATCCTGTTATCATTGAGTTCTGTCGTTTTTTCAATGTTTGTCTAGGACAAATTGGCCCCATTGTGTGGAGGGTTGTTGCTTGTCTAAGGCACTTAGCTAGTTTGGCTAATTTGCCTTTTACTTTTTCCGTTTGATCCACCTCTACTCCCCTAAGCTGTTCCGGCATAGGATCTTTACTTTAGTGGCGAGGAGTAAAAGAGTTTTAGTCAGCCCTGAGGATGACAAGGACCGTGAATGGTATGCTATATTTATTGCTAATCCTACTGTAGGATTAGTAGGTGAAGAGAATGTACCATTCCCTGAAAAGTGGAATTTTGCACATAAGTTTACTTTTGCAACCTTCTCTCTTCTTTTTTTTTCCTTTTTCGTTTTGAAGGGATTTGTTTTTCCCGCGGCTGTTCTAACTTTCTCTTTTTTCAGCAACCATGGAAACTGTTGATGAGATTCCCAATTTTCCTGGTTGGGTAGAGAAATTATTGACTGTTGCTCTGATGGAAGGTAGATCCTGGAAAAATCTTTCACACAGGTTTGGTTGGAAGGCTAAAACTCATGGTAAATACTTTACCCTTTTTATTTAAT